TTTAAATAAAATGAGTAAACGCCTCCTAATGTTAACGATCAAATCCTAGGAAATATGTCCTTCAACACGTCATATGTCATTGGATCTAATGCAATCATACACATAAATAAACAAAAATTTCCTGTTTTCTCCATCCCTTTAAAAAGCTAAGCGCATACTAACACCAAATCATCGCTAAAAACCCATTTTCAGTCAAGGGTCAGTGAATCGAAGATGAACGATACTTGTTTTTATAGCTAGATAATCTCAAAGGCATTTTTTTGCTTGGGTAAGTGTTAATCACAGAGTGAGTAAAAACGTGGACATTAGGAAAAAGCTTGAATAGCTTTGTCTAGCTAAAATATTTCTATCCAACTTATTATGTATTCTTGTTCTCTAGAAACCTCCAAGAATCACCAAAAAAGGCGAAAACATCTGAACTACTGGTTACAAATAAAAAAATATGTTCTGATTTCTGTTTGTCAAGATCGATAATCTTGCAGCAAATGCACTACCACAATCACCTCATTAGACATCAACTGATTTAGTGCCCCAACAATATTTTGTTAAACTTTATTTTAAGCAAATGTAAGGGAAAACAGCGCAGAAAAGAAGCTTATCAACAATGACAGTTAACCCCAAAGAGAAGAGTAAGAAGGCTCGACACTTCCTCTTGCGCTGAAATGAAGAGAAACAATAAAACATTCACGGATAGTATATTTCAGAACTAGCACCGGACGATCCTTGACCACCAGTGACAAGAACTTTGCCCGAATTCAGCAGGGTTGCAGTATGGCTGAACCGTGCTGTTTCCATGCTTGCAGTACTGTTCCATTGGCCTGTTGATGGATCGTACAGTTCAGAACTTGTAACAGAACCGGACGATCCTGGACCACCAGTGACAAGAACTTTACCCGAACTAAACAGCGTTGCAGTATGATATTCACGTGTTGTTGCCATGCTTCCAGTAGTGTCCCATTGGCCCGTTGAAGGATCATATAGTTCAGAACTAGCAAGAGGAGCGGACAAGCCGGAACCACCACTCACAAGAACTTTGCCCGAATTCAGTAGGGGTTGCAGTATGGGCGTCGCGTGCTGTGACGATACTTGCACTAGTGTTCCATTGGCCCGTTGAAGGATCATATAGTTCGGAACTAGCAATATAACCGGACGATCCATAACCACCAGTGACAAGAACTTTGCCCGAATTCAGCAGGGTTGCAGTATGGCTGTCGCGTGCTGTTGCCATGCTTGCTGTAGTGTTCCATTGGCCCGTTCAAGAATCATATAGTTCAGAACTAGCAAGAGGACCGAAAGATCCGTCACCACCGATGACAAGAACTTTGCCCGAATTCAGCAGAGTTGCAGTATGGCCGTAGCGTGTTGTTGCCATGCTTGCAGTAAGGTCCCAGTGACCTTAATGAAGAAATGTTACGGCAGGCATTAAACTATTCTACCTGTACTGATATTAACCAACTTCAACTCAAAAATCACCCCATTAACCTGTACTCTCCCAAATTTGAAAGCTAACGCTTGAGTTTAAAAATAGTAAATAAAACTCATTACTTGTTATTACTGTTGAAGTAACCACTGTTGATGAGGTCGGTATTTGTTCTAAATGTCAAAATAAACGCTGTAGAATCATGACCTGGTCTTGA